GTACTTCTCGGCTTTTCAGCATATATTGTCTTCACTTAAAGGACGATGTCAGTAGCATTCGTGCTGTCAGTTACTTCCCAGATTGTCTGACTGGACGCTTGGAGATGTAGGCGCCTCAGAATGCTTGCGATAGACCAAGCAACATGTCCCCTCCCTTGTCTGAAGCATAATTAATGAACTTTGTAGTTGTACGACAGTGAAGCATCGGTGTCAGCACTAGTGTTGGAAAGTGACCAGACAGATTGCGTCCCCTTTGAAGCGTGAAGGAAGCTTCTTCATTTGTAGAACCACTGTTCATAAGGTTTCTGAGAGCTCTTTGACGACCGGCGACCGATTTCACCCTTCTTGGGACTCACTATGTAGGCGCAGTCACCGAGATTCCAACAACCTCGTGTTCTACTTGGATCCCAAATTCTACGAAGTTTACGAAGTGCACCACTCAGTTGCGAACAAAGTTGGTTTTAACGATATTCCCCAACTGAATGTGTTGCACAAAAGCCACCTCATGCTTCAGTTGACAGAACATGCTACTAACAAGGTTGCTGAAAACTATTCAATAGTCAGGTATCGATGTAACGCTTCTTGGGGCTCATCAAATGGGTGTAGTCCCTGACTTTTCAGCAGCTTTCTAGTTAACTTAAACACAGATTTGCACTCATGCGCAAATTACTTTGGTGGTCACTGGGGAGATCCAAGTGAATCTTCCGTTCATGCTATCCCTCGATGCGGTATCCTGTTAAAACCAACTTTTTTCCGAATGACTGCAGGCGGCCAACTGTCTACAAGTGTTGATCAAACAGAACATAAGGCTGATGGGAATGAGAAGTCTAGGCCTACTTGAAGAAACCACAAAAGCAACGAAACCGACAGTGGCCTGTCAGGGGGGTCTCAGCAGCATTTTGAATAGTGTGTTCGGCCGAGGGAAATCCCAAAGTGGTCAGAAATTTGAGACTAGAATGCCACAGGCCACGATGATATTCTTTTTAATTCGTACACTCTATAGACAGCCGCCAGTACAGTGGTTTTGCAAATTAAAAAAATTCGTCCTCGAAGTTTGTCCATCAAGCGGACATTTTCGGCTTCTCAGTCAGAAACTCATCTCCGTGACTCGGTCGAGATGGGTCAGTGGTTAGAGCGCAAATTTACTGACCGGAAGGTCCGTGCTTCGAACCCCTGTCTAGGCTTGGGCAACCTGACTGTATCCCAGCCCTCGTGCTTCCTTCGGGTGGCATTGCAGTTAGGCACCGAAAAGGTTCTACAGCTGAACGTGACTCGGTTTGCTTTGGAGCGCTACCACCGAGCTACAGAACTGTAGCACCATGTGGGATTTTTTTACCCCAAATCTGAAGATACGGAATAAAGGAATTTGCAATCAGTAGGTCATCCATACAAGCAAAAAATAAAACAGTATTTGACTGGGCTCAAGGACTGCTCAAGCAGTTCAATTTGGGTTCAAGTAGAACATGAGGTTGACGGAAACTCGGAGACTGTACCTACCCAAGAAGGGTGAAAACAGTACTGAGCGGTCAAAGAGTTTTCAGCCACCTTGTTGGTAGTTCCCTTGATGAAAATATACTGCGATATCTCGAATATTGTGCCAGTAGAAACATACGGCAGCGCATTGAGTTGAAGAACATCATAAACCGGAGATTCGTTTGAGTTTTCCGTGAAAATCGAATTGATTTGCAAATGAATGTATTCGTAGGAACCTGTGGCATTATCCAGGGAGCAGTGTATCTCACAGTAGCTTGTGCACCGTCAGAACGGCTGGCAAGGGCTCAGTTTGGAAATCGCAAAGCCATCAGCTAATGTTGATCGCCTGAGTTTTCGTCCTGTCAGTGAAATCCGTCTATGCGTCTCATCAACTATCCGCATTTCAGAAAAATCCAGTAGAGGTTTCCAAAGCCGCGACTTCTTGGCTAGGGTCTTTAGAACTTAGCCGTTAGGCTAGCATCGGCTAGTCAACATTGTCTTTGATCGGTTCGAGGGTGTTGCCGGGTAACAGGAGAACAAGCACCGCTGTAAATTTATGTAACTCTAAGCATCTGGCAGTGAAACACTTCCTGGATTCATGACATTTATTGAATGGTCTGAACGGTCTTGTTCATCCCCTACGAGTTATCGAGGGTTATTAAGAACGACTGGTATTCGAGGTCTGTCTCGAGATTGCCCGATGCAGTCTGTCCCCGCTCTAGTGCCTTAATGTCAGAAAAAGGCTCGCCAACAAGGAACACAACAGTTTTACGGTGAACAAGGGAGTCCAAACTATACGAGGGGCTCTGAGGTTTTTAAAGCGCATTTTTGGTAGTAAATCCAGGCTGTCCAATCAGCGTTGATTGAACACCCATCATCGTCGGTCGTTGCTTTTATGAAATGCCTGAGCACTCATCACCATCGGCCGTTGCTGAACTGATTGGCTGCCTCAATGTTCAATCGGCAGCTAACCTATCTAGCCCAGCTGCATGACGGCTCCCCTAGTGCGATTTCGGCGGTGTTTCGGGCATTCTGGAATTCCTCTAAAATATCTAACCTTCCATTTTGATCGTTTTTTCAACAGAAGATAATCATTTATGTGTTGTCTGAAAAATTCAGTTAATTGTCAGCGCGAAATTCTCTAGGGTTCGATTCCTGGCTGCTTGTACAAGGCACGCTGATTGGTCGAGCTGATGTTTTGCAGACGGTGTACGGAAAACCACTAAACCTTGGTGATTATGTGAGAGTGATTAGATGTACAAACAGCAGATGTGATCTGCAATGGTTGAAAATTCAAAATTCGTGGATGAGAGGCTATTCCAGAATACCCGTAGTTTATCTCCTGTGGTATTGTCTACCCGGAGAGAGAAGTCCAGTCGTTTTCTCGGACATGACGATCTCCTTTTTGTGGTGCAACCTAAAGTACACTCATGCTCGGTCTTCCAGTAAACTCGCAAGGTAGATATTCAGCCTAAAAACCTGATAAACTTCGGAGAACTTGTAAACACGTGTACTTTTGTTCGAGGTCAAAGTTTGGCCCTGGAGTGAGTTCGTGGTCCACGGACTAGGCTAACATGAGTGAACAAAACAGGGGTCCTGGAAAGCCACAAGATCAGCAGCGTCTGCGTGAATAGTCTGATCACCAAGTAAACGTTTATGAACGGTCTTCATTTGCTATGGTAGGTTGCCAGAAGTCCCACTCAAGGGAAGCCTCCTACCCCTACGGGTGAAAGGAAGAAGGCCGTCGCTGCGGAGTTATTTATTAGGAAATGCCAACTGACCGGTTACAGACCATTAGACAGGGAAGCAAAACTCTCATTTGCATCTTATTTGCAAAAACTGGACATTCGTCTTCCTATGAACGCGTCTCCTTGAACTTACCTGGATATTGATTGACTCCAATCATTCATCGCTCAAATCCAAGCAAATGTTACAAAGCGACTCCACAAATTCTGCAACAGACCTCCCCTTTTCAAAAGATGCAAAACGAAACCCCACGAACAACACATACTACCCACGTGCCTCCTTGTCAGTAGTATCACCGTTACACGGGTATTCACCTGGTGGAAGTAGGCCTGACAAACCACAGGACCCTTTGGTCAACTGCTTCAGTCTTTTGACTGCAGGACCACCGACCACTTTCGAACAATTCCTGTACACGAATTAGGCGGGAATCTTGGTCTAAACAGCTGCTGACTTATTCGGTAGTGTTGTCAGGACGGTCATATTCCTGAAAGTAGCCTCAGGTATTTCATAGAGGCACGAGCAATGTTGATGTGTATTCACTAATGCCTATCAGACAGCCTGGATCAATGTCAGAAAGTTCTATTTAAATAGTGTGGGGCCATTGTAACTTTTGCTCTCGCACTCGTTTGTTCGGAATATAGCTGTTGTATCCCCTTCTTGGAGTCTTTTTCTTCGGCACTAGGCACCGGAGCGGGTTAGCAGCAGATACCACAGATTGGCGAATCAGCAGATATAACAAGTGTTCGCCCTCGTTCCTCATAGGGACTCTCGTAATTCAACAACCAAGAATTTACAGTGTGCCCCCCATTCAACTCCAATACCCCACGATCTATTGTATTGCTGTGTGAAAGCCAAGAACGTTGCGCCAATCCTTTTCTGGTAAAGGATTCTGACCTGTCCACAGGCGAGCCTTTCTATTGATTGACTTACTACATTCAAGTAAAAAACCAGTAGGCTTTTAAAATACTCTTGCAGACTGCAAGTTTCTCCGCAGCCGGCACCAGGACCAGCGTGACTCCTGAGAATTTGGACTCGACAAGCGTCCTAGCTCTTGCTTATAACTAAGCCGACGTAATCAATTTTTATTTATTCCAATTTAGAAATTTCCTTCAGGGCTTTGGTTTCGAATTCATATTTTACGATTCCATAACCCGAATTTCGGTTAATATCCAATAAGTAACTTCTGTTTGTTTGAATAAAAATCCAACTGGGAAAATCCGAATATGGTCTGCTTCGTCACTGTATAACCCGTTTCGTACTAAATAACTGAGTAAATAAGACCTTTGCGTTCATCTTCCCCCAACCTCGCTGGTATTTCTATTTTTAGTAGTCTCATTGGATCACAATGTAAACAAGTCACTTTTGCGGAAAATAGGACGCCAATGATGGCAGTATGTTTCACTAAATAAAGATCCGACTAGCTCAGGCCAAATGGATCAAGATCAAATACAAGATGAAGGCTACTACGAGTATGAATACTTTTTATGCATTACATTGTCGTGACAACCATTTGATACAAGTTTCCCACAACATGTTAAGATTATTTTGATCGGTACGATCTGCAGTTGTGACACACAGCTTAGAGTAAATTGCGCGAATCAGGCCATCCTTGAGTACACCAAAAACCCACGGTAACTTGTCAGTTGAAAAGCTCACCTGTAGTTGCCAGATCTGTCGAAATCACGCTCACGCTTTGCACAGTTAAGGTACCGTCTGCCGTATAGTCTAAATCAAAAGGGCTCCAGATGAACGGTCTTTTAAGTTGTCAGTAGTACAAGTCTTTAGTCACTGATCTCCGGACCTTCTATATACAAACTGAGCGTGTTTGCATTGTTCCGCCACCGTATGGTGAGTACCCCTGAACGATCCCGTTCGTATGGATATACGTATGGAGATTTACGCGGTGTGTCGTCGACCCAGCGCTTCGATCGAGCGTTGAAACCAAGGCCGTCTGTAAGCAACTTTGGAATTTTCCGAACTTTCAAGTCCCGAGCAGATTTGACTTCATTTCGAAGTTGTGCAGATTTGATAGGCATGACCGTTTCATTCACCAGTTTGATTACTTGACGGCCCCGACTGAGATGTCCTCCCATCGCTCGTTGAGAAAGGTTGACACCTCCGGAGTAATCATTCCGCATTTGATCGCTTGCACAAAATTGAATGATGAAGCCAAAATTGTTCAGCTATGCTCAAATTAAGCTATACTACTGACACTACGCGCGTGGATAGTAGCCTGAGGTAACGTTTGGGACAGTGCGTAAGACTTAATTGCTCGTTTTTCGCGTGCGCTTGTGTGCACTCCTCAGCAAACCAGAGCTGATATTGGACGTCTCGTTACATATATA